ACACACACACACACACACACACACACACACACACACAGCTGAGGAGTTTCCCTCAGAAGTTGGTAGAGACCAAAGCCTGAGCTAACGAGCGTGAATATTGGACGTAATTAAATCACGTGACAGGAAACTCAACTTCAAATGAACCGTTAAACTGGTTTTTGAGCGATTCCACAGAATCAGCGAAGTTTAAAGACGGACGTCACACGACTGTGTCTCCAGACCTCGGACACCTCGGGTCTGTGGATGCGTCGCTTTAAGTCGTCAGAGGACGGATGGAGTCGATCTGTCGGATACGAAGGAGCCTGACGGTGCAACAGGGAGGATCTTAAACTGAATGATAAGTGACGGAGCCGCTGAAGTGTCTGTGGACGATGTACTGAAGAAGAATGAAACTAATGAAAATGATCCACTGGCTTCAACAAAGGTCAACGAGTCCAGGTGAAGATCCCAGATCAGATCTAGATTCACTGCAGAGCCACGATCTAAAACAAACAGCAAACTGCAGGAACGTGTTCGTGTTCAGAGCTGCAGGATTTCAAGCTGATGAAAGTTGAATTATCTCATGTTTGTGTTATTTTCAGTTGACAAGTCTAAACTCTCCCGGAGCCGTCACACCCACACCGTCAGGTCGATGCCTGCGTCCGACACACACACACACACACACTGTTCCACCGTTACACAACCGACGCTTCCACTCGTTCAGCCTCGACTTCACCGAGGCACCAACACACGATTAAAGAGTCGATCTGCAAGAAGACAGATCTGAAAACAAAACCATTTCATCTCCGTCTCTTTAGATTCGCCGCCTGGTGGAGGCCGCCGCCGCCCCCCCAACCCCCGACAGAGTCCGCAGGCGTCGGCAGGTGAAGGAAGATTTCACAACAGAAAACACAGCAGCTGTTTCACAACGTTCAGACAAGTTCCTGCTCATCAGTGAATCATGGTTCAGTGATTTCTGTCCATCACAAGTCTCTGATGATTTCAAAGTGACGAGCATCATCATCAAAAAATGGACAAACTAGGACCTGGTAGGAAGAGGTACCTCAGTACACGAGTCATATACAAATATATGTATTTATTTATATATTTACACATCGTTCATCTGCACTTGAGTTTTTGTTTAACTTTTACTGACAGATTCAGAAAACAGTCAGTCGACTTGGTTCTTTGGTTTCTGAGGTTTCTCTGTTTCTTCTCCGTCAGCTTGTCGACAAACGCAGTGAATTCCTCCTCCCACCTGTAGGGGGAGCCTGTGTAAAGCCGAGAGCAGATGAGCATCGTGTTGCTTTAAGTTTGGTTCGGTGTCTAAGTCTCATTTTGACTTTTCAGAAAAAAAACAATCTCCGTCCGAGTGTTTTGACTTCGCATCGGAGGAAGAACACACGTGACCCCTCGTTCACTGGGCGTGTGCTGGTGTAACATCTCGCCTCCTCATACAAACAGTAACACGGGTGTTTTTTCTTCCAGCCGGACGAAGAATACGTCGTGACCTTAAAGAACCAGCCAGCAAACAGAGCGTCTGCGTCATCGTTTCCAAACGAGATCAGTTTGTAAACTTCTGTTCCGGCAGCTCTTCACCAGAGCTCACAAACACAGACGTTGGGATGAAGCCTGATACTGACAGACTAAATCACAACAAAAGAAACAGTGGTTTTAAGAAGGGATCTGCCCGAGGGTGGATTAGGTTGATGACGGGGGGTGTAAACAAACCGTCGGGCCGTACGAGGGCAGGCAGGATCTCAGGACGATGGATCAGTGGCACGAGACAAAGAATCTGCTGCTAATCCTGATACAGTTAAAGCTCCCGCTCAGACTGACTTCAACTGGACACACACACACACACACACACACACACACACACACACACACACACACACACACCACACACACACAGAGACATCAACGTCCAGAGTGATTAGAAATATAAACTGTTCCTCTAGAGCGACTCCGTCCATCAGAAGACAATGAAGGAGCGTCTCATGAAGTTCTCTGAGAAGCTGCTTCAGACAGAATCACTGAACCAGGAAGTGAAACAACATGAACGTGTGAATGAAAACGTCATAGTTACCTCTCGTGAAGTTAAGACCCAGAAAATAAGACGAGGAGTCAGAGGAGGTACTGAGGAGGAGGCAGCTCCGAGGGAGACGAGCTCCAGAGGAGACACAGAGGCTCAGACTGACTCCCGACGAGGGGGGGAGACCAGGGTCTCTGGAGAGGGGTTCGGGGGG